CCTAACTCCCAGCTGTTCCGCTAATCTCAAGTCTTGTAATAGGGTCAATATTTCAGCCTTAACTAAGTTAGCAATGCCAATTGACATTGAATATAGAGCCACCACCACTCCAATGATTTAAAAGGTGTGCCTAGGCGCTCAAGCGAGTCACATCTTAAGGTATGCGCCTCGCCTAGGCCCTAGACGCAGCACTTTCAAAAGGTGCGCGCCTGGTGCACCTAGGTGTGTGCTTATTGTGCCTTGTGCCTCAGCCCAAGCATGCACCTTTTTTTATTTTTTGTGCTTTTTGCTCTTTTTTGAACCATTCATCCTAATAAAATAACCTATTAAAAGACAATTAAAATTATAAAATCATTTTTTGTGTGAGGATTAAGAATTTAAAACCCTAAAATGGACTTGTTTGGGCTTGCCTCGAGGGGCTTGGTACAAAGACAGCTTGTAGAATCAGAAATGCAAGATGCTTTACGTCACATTAGCTATTTGAAGTAATGCAATTGAGGAAAAAAAAAAAAAAGAGATTGTACGTTTTACATGCTTGAAAATGTTTTATGTTTCATTTTATTTTTAAATTTTCATTTGAATACGCCTTACATGTTATGTTTATGTATTTTAATTTTAAACAATAGATTTTCTAAAACATTTATTTTAAAATTTAAGTTTATATTTTTTATTAATACTATGTTCAATATTTTTTTTGTATTTTTGAATTTTTTGGCATTTTTTGTATTTTTGTGCCTTGCTTCAAGAAGGCGTGCGCCTCACCTTTGCCTCAAGCACAAATTGCCCCTTGTGCCTTTTTATGCACCTAGCACATTTAAAGCACTGCACCACTCCCTGGTGATTTCTAAAACCTCCACCAATACCAACCCTTCCCAAATTGCCCATAGAGCTACCACCAAAATTTAGTTTCAATTTATCAATCTCTAGGGGATTCCAGTCCATTCTTTACCTATCAATGCGTCTCCCCGAATGTGCCACTTCAGCCCAAGACCTTACTACGTCATTGGTAGAAAATTCCCAAAGGATCTCCAAGGTTTTTACCTAGCGCGCAGTTCTGATTGTTATAGTTTCAACCAACTCCTTGGATTTACTTTTTCCATTAAAGATCCTTTGGTTCCTTTCTTCCTAGATTGTCCAGAGTCCAAACCAAAGCTGCTCTTACTATCCTCCACATAATCCTTCCTCTTTTTTTTCCTGATGCCTCAAGAAGTCAAAATTGAACAAGCTTACAACATCTTGTGGTGGAACCTATTTGCAACCAAAGAGAACAAAAACTCCCAGAGGCAAGACACAAAAGAATAGGAGATTAATAAATGAGGAATAGTCTTACCACTCCTTGCAAAGAATGCACAAATGAGGAGACATGCATTAGTTAGGCCTAGGTTTACCCTAGGTTTCCCAACAAAAACTTGTACTTTAGGAGGGATAGGTTTACCCTAGGTTTCCTTCACCATGAAACTTTACCACCAAAGGTTCTGACTGGATTAAAAGATTAAAAAAAGAGGCACAAGAATTTTGATCCAAAAACTTTACCACCAAATCCTACCATCAAAAGAATTTTGATCCAAAAAAACAAATTCCAATTTTCCTAGTAGAAGAACAAGTCATATTCATTATCCCTTAAACCCCTTATAAACCCAAACTTCTTGTTTAACCCAAGTGGAGTGGTCAAACCAAATTTAGAGACCGGTTTAAACTTATAATGGGACAAAGTAGAACATGGAATTGCAATGAGTGGTAGGTCACCAATCCAAATGTCTTTCCAAAACAAAACTTTATTCCCTCACCACATCAAAGCAAATGAAATTAAGGAAAGAAGGTAGTACCTCAATGATTTCTTTCCAAGGGGAACTCGATGAAGTGTGAGGCGTACATTTTGCATCCCAGCCATTTTCTAACAATCCATGAATACATCCAATGACCCTGTGCTACAACTTTCACCTTATAGAGGAAGCACATTTTTCTCATCACCTAGTTCCCAATGACCCTTTCTCTCATGATTTTTTCTAAACTCCTAGCCACTTTACCCAGGATTCTAAATATAGAGAGGAAGTAAGTGGGTAGGTTGGCTAAGGTAGACTTGATCAAGGTGACTCTACCTCCCAAAGAGATGTAGTTCCTCTACAATATAGAAACTTTTTCACAAATCTATCTACAACAGGTTGCCAAAAACCTTTTGCTCTTGGATTACCCCCAAAGGCAATGCCAAGGTACTCTAGGGGCAGGTTTTGACTTCACAACCAAGCATTCCTGTCATTAATTGGATGTCATCCTCTTTCATGTTGATACCTGCTACACAACTTTTCTTCACCTTCAAACTTGAGATCCTTTGAAAATTCTCCACTAAAACTTTTAGATTCCTCAATCCTCATTCTAACCTCATCACAGAAGCAACTCTCGGTAAGGCCCTTGACACCATGTCTCCCCAATGCTCTTCCCAATCTGCAATAAAAAGGAATTTGTCTAATTTGGAGTAAATTGGATCAGTTTGAAGATTTGACCATGTGAATCTGTTATGTAGGAGTTCAAGTTCCTTGAGTTCAAAAACATTTGTAAACTCATTAAACTTCCTCATACTGGTGGTACTCCTTTGCCGCACCTTACTGCACTCTTCACTGAATCTAATCACATTCAAATCCCCTCCCAGACACCAAGGCCCATCCCACAAACCTCTAATGTCTTCCAGTTCTTCCAACAATTCATTCCTTGGTCTATAGCCAGTGGGGCCATAAACATTAGTTAAGACCCATTCAAACCCATCTCCCACTTGCTTGAATTTGACAGACACTGAGAACCTTCCAATTAATTCTTCAACTCCCTCTACAACTTCATTCTTCCACATAGTGACTAATCCTCCTAATGAGCCCCAAGAAGGGTTCATAGCCCAGCTAAGGCCATTTGCACTCCACACACTTCTAGCCCATCTCTTGTCAAAAGTCATGAGCTTAGATTCCTGAATTATAAAGATATCTGGGTTTTCTTTCCTTAGGACCTCCTTTATTAATGCTCTCTTCCTTGCTTTCCCCAATCCTCTCACATTCCAGCTCACAATCTTCATCACTCCAAAAAATAATCCACCCCCACCCCTAAACTTCTCCTTCCCTTCCCCTACCCTTCCTCGCACAAAATTCTTTGTCCCCTTCTACATCCTTTTTTAGCCTCTCAACCTCACTTAACCTTCTTTTTCTCACCTTCCTTTCCTCTTTTTATTCTTCAGATGCACTTTCAGCTCGTTCAAATTTTTTATCTTGCAGCCTAGCTTTCCCACAAATTCGGCTAAGGAATCCTCTCTTTCAATTCCCTTCTCAACCATTTTGTTTTTGTCCTCTCTATGCCTCCCATACACCCCCTCTTGTTCCATTCCACCTCTATCTTCTTTGGACCCACCAACCTCACCCTCATTCATCTTCTCCCTTTCTAATTCCACCCTATTTGGGTTCCCAAGCTCTTCAAGTATTATATTGCACACTCCCTCCTCCCTCTCACCCTTCTTCTGTATCTCCCCACCACTCACAACTCTATCAGCTTCAAATCCATGGGTAATCGGCAATGAGACAGGCCTGGAATCTGGGAGACAACCATCAAGAGCAGAGCAAGGATTAGTTTCAAAACCCGAAGCCACAATACTAGATCTCTCTTACTCTATGAACCTTGTTTGCCAATACATGCATGCACCCATTGATTACCACTTTCAGCTTGTAAAGTGAATATTGAGATATGTTCATGGGACAATTGATTATTGACTTAATCTTTATATCAACAGCTCCTTTGATCCATATGCCTATTCAAATGCTGACTAGGCAAGGTGCCCTCTTATTAGACACTCCACCACAGGTTATTGTGTTTTTCTTGGTAATAATCTTATCTTGTGGGGAGCAAAGGAGCAAACTATTGTGGCCAAGTCTAGCACTAAAGTCAAATACAGGTCCATGTCCTCTACTACGGTTGAGATTACCTAGTTGCCTTTTGTACTCCAACATTTGAGGATATCTCTACCTAAGCCATCAACACTATATTGTGACAACATCAGTGCTCTCCATATGTCCATTAATCCAGTGTTCCATACTTTTACCAAACACAATGTGTTGGACTATCACTTTGCTCAAGAAAAATTTGGCATGGAATATCTGATTATCAGCTATGTCTCCTCTGATAATCAACTTGCAGAAGTTTAGATTGCTTTGTTCCAAGTTGGGTGTCCACTGTTTTCCTCCTCGACTTGAGAGGGAGTGTTAAGAGACCCAGGTCCAAATCGTGTTGATCCAGATCCAGACCTAGGACTGAGTTCAAGAGAAGACTCTAGAGAGCTCAACCTAAGTGGGAAGTCTAGGTGTCATCTCCAGTTGCCAAAAGTCAGAGATATTGAAGATAGGAAAGTTCTCAATAAAGCTCTTAGTCAAATCCCTCTTGAAATGGAAGATTCTCATGTACTAAGAAAGGTTCTAACTAGAGCAGATTCATTGTAATTACTCTTTCCATTCTTTTGTACAACCAATATTAATAAATAATAAATTCTTTTTTAATAAGTAATAGTGAATTTTATTAAAAATCAATAAAAAGATACACAGTGAATGCTTCCCACAAAGAGACACGAGGTGCAGCCTCAAAACAAGTCTCCCTAGTTTAATGTATCAACCAGCAAGCATATAGTTCAAAATAGCAATGCTCCTTAGTCTTTACAAATGATCAACTATTTCTAATCAAAACATGGAAAATCAACATATCCAACACATGGAAAATATATAATCAGCACTTGGCAGAGAAATTACCTAACAACTAGGTAAAGCTATAGCCTTTTACAAATAAAAGATTTTATTTACAAGATGCTGAAAATGGAATGTCTAATGCACAATAACGCAAAGTTGCAACTTTTAGAATGCTACTGCTATTACAATATTCCCATACCTTGATTTATTACTAAAGATATGGAGATGGACTTCACGGTACTAAGAAAAATGAGACACAGATAGATAGATAGAGAGGGAGAGAGAGAGAGAGACCTTGGCTTGGTTCCAAGTGTTTGAAACGGTGAGAGGTCCGCGTTCCTTGATGATCTGGTAGAGATTTTTGGCTATGGATGATGCCTCTTGAGGCGGCACCTTCGGGTTGATCTTCCTTAGGTTCTGAGAGCATTTCCTAGAGAAATACCTCACAAAAGTAGTACTTGCACCACTCCCCAACAACATCCCCCCACCGCGACTCTCTCTCTCTCTCAATTGGCCAACCAACAATCACTTGTCCAGCGTTGTACGAATTTGGTTATTCTCGGTTCTCTCCACTCGCCCAGTCTCTTATAGACAGACGGGAAGAGGCGAACAGCAGGAGAGGGTCTGAACCTAAAGTGACAAAAAATCGAAAATAACCCTCACTCTGGTTGGATTTGAATTTGGGAAAATTTATGATACAGGAAAGGCATGGTAACGAAAGAGATTTGACCCATCAAACCACCCCTCTGATGATACCGGTTGATTGGCTGTCCGGTATCTCATGTCTTTTTTGTTTTTTGATAAACAGGTATCATGTCTTTTTTCTATCATACTCGAGCCCTTGGTTTTATTCTACAATGGCAAAAATAACCCTGACTAAGGTTTTATGACCCGATCGGCCGATCCCTCTAGATACCAAGGGCAAAGGGTTTTGCAATGATCTCTTGTCTCAACAAATCTATTTTTTTTTCGAAAGCCTTATCTCAACAAATCAAGTTGACTTTTTTGTTTTTTTTTATATTTGAATATAAATACTATTGAATGTTGAATTGTGAGAAATGATAACTGATGATGCACAATCTGGCCGGTCTTAGCTGTCGATGATCTTGCCTCTGAACCGAGTAACAGGGACCTGAAACGGAAGGAGAAGAGAAGCTTCGGGGAGAACCCGGCGTAAGGGCTCCGAAGCTCAAGTTAGAAYCCTTCAAAGGCAAGAATAACCAGATAGCGCGAAAGTTAGCATACCTCGTTCCTGGGGGGTAGAAGCCTTTTATAACCACCTCGCGCACTCACTTCCAGGCCTCCGTCAGGTCGGGCATGA